AGCAGACCTCATTCCTCCCACCAAATAGAAAGTGAAGACTTCTTAGAGGAGAGCTCCGGGACAAGCAAGGCTAGGTCACCAAGCTGGCAGAAAACAGAAAGCACCAGAAGCAAACGGGCATCAGAAATGACTGTGGCAGGCAGAGCTAGTGTGTCAGAAGCACCTTGGGGCAAAGGCAAAGAGAGTGGTCAGGGGACTTGAAGAGGATTGGATTCCCAAAAGCATTCTCTCAAACTAAACCAAAAAACCAATTAGCTGCCACTGCCACCTTTAAACTCCTGTTTGGAGCAGTGTAGGTATATTCTTCAACATTGCTGAAATGAGACAGTAATGATGCAAGAATACGGTATGGGTCCTATTAACAAAACAACAGACTGAGTTTTCCGTAACTATGCCTATGGTAAACAAACATCATCAACTAATTTAGATAGGAAAATATCACTGACTGAAAACATTTTCTGAAGACTGATCCTTTTTCATTCGCCTAAACAAATCCTTAAAGGTTGAGGAACTGCGCATTACTAAAGGTCATACAATAAAAATTGAAAGGATTCCTGCCTTCAAATTGTTAACTACAATGAGACATTTAAGGTAAGGACGGCTCCAGGAAAAGGAGAAATAATTTAGACACTCTTTCGCCAAGTTCAAGTCATCATTTCTGTTACTATCAAAAACTCAAAAAACATTGTTTTATAAGATGGGGATGGTGAGGAGTCAGGAAGGAATGAGAGGTGTAGTGAACCTCTTTTTGAAAAACTGACACGTGAAGCAAAATGAAGACCTCGCAAAGGGACAGTCAGGATAACACAGCAATTACCCTGGCCACCTGAAATCATTTATGGTAAAGCCCCCACTAGCATTTCAATACTAGAAGTTTAGCAACATGCTTTTATTTCCAAAGCAAACCACACTGCACAACTGGAAGTACAGATGTTATCTTGATGCTGGGCGAAGATTAAAAAAAATAGATATGACTTATCTAGTAAATCATCTTGCAATACTTGTCAGAGTAGACATTATGCCAGATTTAAAATGCTCTTAAGAAACCATCAGGGTTTGGAAGAGATATGAAAATGTCTTAAAACAGAAATCCTCACATAAGGATGCAGACTGAACCTTACAGTTTCATTACAACCAAATTCCTACCTAAAACAATGTAACTATCTGTACAAGCTTTCCCACAAGAAGATGAAATGAAACAGAACTATGAATACATATTTTAGAATTTAATAAAAATATTTATCCCTGTGTCCAAAAGGCTGTTTAATGTGGTAATCAACACTATCTCCCTTGGAGTGGATAAGCGGGATCACAGCCTGGGCCTGCCACACCCAGTCCTCCTGAAGACTTTCTGAGACCAAGTGGACCTACCACCCTGGAACCAGTGTCCCTCCACGTGGTTGTAAGCTATGCTCCAAGTCTCCAGAGTTTCCTCATCAGATACCAAGCAGCTTCTAAGACGTGAAAATGATCCTCCCAGATCTAGTGTGAGCCAGAAGTGTGGTCAAAGGGTGCAGAAAATACGTACAAAGATTTGCTGTGCCAAGTGGACATAACAGCCTCCAACAGGTGGGAAGGTACCAGGGGTGGGAACCTAAAAGAAAAAACTTGTTCCAGAGCAGATTCTCCTAGCTGCCTCCCAGCTCATAGCTCTGAGAATGTGGAGAACTCAAAGCTCAAACCTAACCTTTAAATTCTCTCATAGATATAGTTATCAAGGTAGATGAATTGAACAAATTTTTATAAATCCCAGTGAGCTTATTTCATTAAGTTTAAATAATTGAGACATATGTTATATTGGCCTCCATTTGTTTTCTTGCAAGGGACCCTGCAATGTTACAGCCAGGCCTGGTAGTTACATAGCAGACCCAGAGTTACACTGCCTGGGTTCATGATCCCACCAGAACTTACTCCTCAGCTATGTAAGCTTGGGAAAGTCTCTTATACCTCTCTAAATCTCAGCCTACTCTTTTGCAAAACAAACAAACAAAATTATAAAAGCACCTCCTGTGAACACTAAATGAATTAGTGCATCAAAGTACAGAGAACAACATACACAGTCCTCCATGAATGTTGCTTATTGCATTATTTTCCAAACAAAACTGATGGGCAGCTTCAAATTTCTAGACAGAACCAGCCAGGTCTACATATTTCTTCTTTCCCATTACTTTCTAAGTTTAAGTTTCTTGCTTTATACTACTCCAAAAGAAAGTTATTTTCTATTCTTTAAAGGTCAAGTCGTTTAACTGCTGACCTATCTGGCACAAGTTCTTCTGAAACTTAAGTATGTATTCATCTTGAACCCCAACACAGCAGATAGGTTTTTGGTGAGTATGAAATTGGAAGTCTGAAAATTGGCCTTCTGCATCAATTTCATGCAATAAGGATGTGAAAATACTATCAATTTAAAGTATAAAACAATACTTCTTGATTTTCATGTTCATGTGGTTAAAAGCTATAATCCAGAGGAGATCCTTCTCAATTGGGAAACCAGGAGCTGAAATACTAAAGGCATTCAGCAAAGAAAGGTAACCAAAAGAGAGAACGCAAAGCCAAACTACTGCCCCATCAGTGGAGAAATGGATGGAAAGAAAGAATCTTTATTTGGCTTCTTATTAAGCCCACTTTTTTCTTTATTATTAATGAGGCATACCAAGAAAGAACCTAGTGGCTGCAAACTGCCAACAACTTTCTCAATGATTTCCCCCACCCCCATCTACCTTCACTAACTGAAAAAGCAACCTCTAGAAAAATACTGACCACGTTTAAATTCAGATAGAGCATTTGTATTTTTTCACCATAAGCACTCAGCTGTTTGTTACAGATTGAAGGTCTAAAGCTTGCGAAGAAAAAGAGCCAGGAAAAAAATTCAAGGGTATATTTGTTCATACACACACACACACACACACACACACACACACACACACACATGGATTGATATGTTCAATAGTGAACACTCAAAGCTCCATTTTCCCCATTATTCTGAAGAATTTTTAAGATACACAACTTGACATACTGAGTAGAACTCTTTCTAGTCTCTCACACTACATCTAATGAAG